TTCGCTGTGTACCACGACAGAGTTCCCACTCCAATACCAACTAAGACATCATTTGTACGGAGTTACCAACTAAATTGTACAATTACACTAAACCTTCCTTTCTTTTATGATGAACTATTCGTTATTAGTGGATGAAAAAAAAAAAAAAAGAACTATTCGTTATTAGTAGGTATTCGAAATATATATAAAATTCAACTACTGATCATAATATTGACCATGCTAATCTTTATGTATTGTTATAATTTTACCGAACATTCTGAAGGAACGTGCACATAATATGTTATTCCTTAGAAATAGTATTCGGTTAAGTGGTCTTTAAATACTTTAAAATTGCATGTAACCGATTTGACCAAAATTCCAACCTCTAATAATCCAATGTGTAAATACGACGAGGTACAAACCCCCTTTTTTTTTTTTTTGGTCAAACAAGTACAAACTGCATAAAATCAATTTTTCTTGACTTCATTTATGTACGATCTTATTTCTAAATTCGTTACTCAGTAAAAAAAGAAAAAGGAAAGTATATAAATCTTACATATGTGATTATTATTATGAATAAAGAAAGTAGAAAGCGAAAAGACTTGAAAAAATAGTATAAGAGTGTGGGGATGAAAGTCACAATCCACTTACTCACAACCTGCAACAATTATTACCCTTTTTGGATTAAAAAGATAAACTTTTTCACATGTAAAAACAATAATTTTCTTTTAAAATGTTGGAATGAATTTTTTTTGTGAGATTGTGACTTTGGTCACCTATCGTTTGTGCTCTTTTACCATTCACGTGACCGTTGTTATTGTGGCCAATGAGACACGAGAGAAAGGATAAAATATTTTATTTGTTCTAAGATATGGCGCTATGATTTAAACACTTTGATCATCTTTAATTAGTAGTTTTTTCCCGTCTTTGTGCTCAAACTTATTGCTGATCAAACCAGAAACAATCAAAACCAAAAAATAAAACCGTTGAGAAACAGGACATAGCTCAGAAGTCAGAATAGCATGATATCGTGTGTTGTGGTTCTGAGTGATGCTGGTTTTGAGAATACTTTTTTTTTTTTACCAGACAATTGTCATTCACATGTTAAGTGTATTCTCTATACAACAAATTTGTAAACAAAGTTAGTATTCATACTTGTTCGTGGTTGTGGAATTTAAGTTTAGATCGAAATAACAAAGTATACTAATTTTGTGTGTTTACAATTGTACAATCATATCTCAAAATTTGCTTAAGATCTTATAGTAATTTGAATCTTATAGGTTTAGTAATCTTGGATCACGGAGGACAATTATAAGTTGAAATCCAAACTTTGTAATTAGTGAAGTTACTAGCAAAATGTGTAAGTATCGAGAAAAAGAAAATCGAAAAACAGTTCAAGGTTGCGAAGGGCAAACGTAAGTACGAGGAATGGAACATAATCTGTTGGGGACTTCAAAATAGATCAATAACTCATTAGTCGATCTAATTATTTTAATTCATCATTTTATTGACTAATAATATATAAAACAACTTCAAATATAATATAAAACTAAATATAATAGTGTGTATGTGAGTTAGACGACAACACAAATGAAAAAAAATGTCAAATCCATATGGTTTTAAAATTAACATTTCATGAACTGCCCTTTAATAAATGTACCGTGAGATTATTCGTCCATATAATTGATCAAACCTAATACATTTTCAGTATAAAATATCTCAGACATAAATTGTGTATTGTCCATCAAACTACTAAGTCTACTTCCAATGGTGATGGAACCGTACGGTGTGGTTCCAATAGTAACAAAATTTTCTACATATGTTTGTGTATGTATATATTTTTGAACCTATTAAAACCGCACCGCACTTTATCCGCAGTTGAACCGCGTGTCTCCATTCGGAGATTAATCGTGCAAGTTATAATGTATGACAAAAATTACCCATTTATTTCCTAGAACACACTACTCCTACTACTTGCTGCGTCCACTCCATTACAAGCCATCAATCGTGCATGTAGTAACAAAAGAATAACCAATGCAAATTCACACGCTGCAAAACAAAACTTTATATATATTAGAATTGTTTAGGTATTTTCTTTAATTACTAAAAAAAAATGTATCCAACGGTAAACTTTGGAAATCGTGGTATCAAAAATAAGGGAGCCTAGAAAAAATGTGGTGGCCGTAGACAGAAATCCTATTTTTGTTTTTAAATATAGAAAATTTACATAATTTGGATGTATTACAATTCTTTTCTTGACTACAAAATTATTTCATATGATTTTATAAAATTAAAAAAAAAAACTGTAAATAAATTGAAAAAGGTGTAGTAGTAGCCACCTAGGCATTTAATTTAAAATTAACAAAAAAAAGAAAGAAAAGAAAATAACAATAAATAAAAGAAAGTTCACTTTAAAAGATGCTCTTTCCCTCTTCTCAGTTCTCTCTCTGAGTCCCTTGAAGTAAACCCCAGGGAGAATTATATGCAAAGTAAGCCGGATACATACATTAGTACAAACATAGAGAGACAGGGATTGGAGGAATCAGAATCAAGAACACATGTTTTGTCCAACGATGGTGATGATGGGTTACATAGACTTAGAAGTCAATCTCTCTTCTTCTTCTTCTACTTCATCCTCAAGCTTCTTCAGCTTCCCCGTCACTTCCTCGCCGCCGCAAAGCAGAGAGTTCGAGTTTCAAATGTGTTCCTCCGCCGTAGCTTCCGGTGAATCAACGACATCTCCGGCCGATGAGCTTTTCTACAAAGGTCAACTTCTTCCTCTTCATCTCCCTCCTCGTCTCAAAATGGTACAAAAGCTTCTTCTCGCTTCCTCCTCCACCGCCGCAACAGAAACTCCTATTTCCCCACGCGCCACCGTATCCTCGCCGCGGAGATTCAGTAGCAGTGAGATCGGACAAGACGAGCAATGTTTCTTTGAGATTTCAACAGAGCTCAAGAGATTCATTGAGAGCAACGAGAATCATCTTGGAAACAGTTGGAGCAAAAAGATCAAACATTCATCGATTACACAAAAGCTTAAAGCCTCACGCGCTTACATAAAAGCTCTGTTCTCAAAACAAACCTGCTCAGATTCATCAGAGATCAATCTAAGATTCAAAATTGAACCTTGTAAAGTCTCAAGAAAGAAGAACCCTTTTATAAACAGTGAAAAACCTCAATTGTTTCATAGAAGATCCTTCTCTGGTGTGATACAGAGACATTCTCAAGCTAAGTGTTCAACATCTTCTTCTTCTTCTTCCTCTGCATCGTCGTTGTCTTCTTCGTTCAGTTTTGGATCAAACGGGTCTTTGGATCTGCAGACACTGATGAGAAGCAGCAACGCGAGTGATAACTCCATTGAAGGAGCGATTGAGCATTGTAAGCAGTCGTTTACTAGTAGGAAGAGCAATGTGACTGAATCTGAGCTCTGTTCTTCAAGAACCTCTGTTTCTACTTGTGGTGACCTTGAAAAAGATTGAAATTCTCAGATCTGTGAAGCGCTCTCTGATTCTCATTCCAAAAGGATACAAAAAAAAAAAAAAAAAAATCATAAAAAAGATAACTTTTCTCTTCTACTCTGATTTTTTTACTTTTGTATTTTAGATTCTTTTGTGTGCTTTTGTTTAGAAGTTTGCTGAATTCGAGGTTTCTTTATGTGTTATAAATGTTAATGCTACCAAAATTACTAATTTCAAGGTTCTTGGGTTTAAACTTGTGTTTTGACCAGAGCACTACTTTCTTTTT